AAAAAAAAAAAAAAAAAGGAAATCAAGGCTTAGAGAGTTTAAGTAATTTGCCCAACATAACTAGAAAGTGGCAGTGGCAGAGTGAGGATTTTATCTGTTTGTTCTCAAATAATTTTCCAACAAGAGAGGGAAAAATGTGTCCAAAGTTAATCAGACACAACCCTGTTTTCCCCTGGATATGGCAGGTACTGTGTTTACAGAGGAGCTATTCAACTGGCTTCCCCCAAGCTCCATCCAGGCCACTCAATGCCTCACTTTCATTCACGAATTCTCCTAGTCCTGGGCCTCCCTTGAAAGCTGAGCCCAGGGGGCTTTCCTGCTTCCAGGTGCTGATGTCACCAGGAGGACAGGGCCAAGAGATTACTACCACAGCCTTCTAAGGTTGCCAGAGACAATGGCCAGGGCTAGTCATGGGACCCCAGCCAGCCTCCATATGGCTCTGAAGTGTTAGGTAACACATCTCTTATCTGAGCGCCAGCAACCCAGTTGGGTTAGCAATGCCACCCTCCACAGTTTCCTCAAGTCCTACCAACTTGCAGAGAATTTATCAAAATAGGCAAACTGCACTCAGTCTCAGAGCTCCCAGCGTTGGAGATTAGGAGAAACACAGCCTTATCACTTACCTGCTGGTTAGCATGCCGTTTGGCAGAAGTGAAAAAACAGAAGCACAAATGAAGTATAGTCTAGATGTCGGGCTAGGACCTGGGGCCTCAGAGTTCGGTTTTGCCCTAGACTGCGCTGAGAGAGGTCTAAGAATTATGTTTTAATCTGAAGGACTAAGAATAAGAATTTAGGGGAAAAGATAGACTAGGAAAAAACGAAAAACTCCTCTAGGGTGCCTCAAATCCTGTCCAGATTAAGATGGCACCTATATCATCAAATCCAATCACCTACTGGGCAGCAGGCACTGAGCTAAATGTTAACACATCATCTCATCTAGTCCTCACAACCATCTCTTAAGGGAGGCACTTTATGTCCCATTTTACAGATGAGGAAACTGAGGTACTGAGTGACCCACCCAGTACCAAACTGCTGGTATGAGGCTGACCTAAGATTAAAAACTGGGTTGGCTATAAAGGCTGGCTAACTGCTGTTTTTTCATTTATTTTTCAATTGAGGTGATTTTACATAGAGAATAAAATGCATATTCTTAAGTTACAGCTTAAGGAGTTTTGGGAAATGAAACCTACTCCTGTCAATACGTCGCACATTCCAACCACCCTAAAGGTCCCCCTGTGCCTCCTTTGTGGTCAATTCCCCCCCTACTTTCACCACCTGGAACTGAGTTATTCTGATCACCCTAGCGGTAGACGGTGTGTTGGTGGTGGTACTCTGCCCAGCCCGCTCTGTCCTCTTTTTCTCATTCTGGAAAGCCACCCACTTGGCTTCTCCCAGGGTTCCTGTTTCTGTGCCCCACCTGGTCAGAGTGACCCAAATGCATTGTTTGAGGCTGCAAATTCACCAGTTCCCACTTCCAGAATGACTGCCTTGGCATATCCCAAAGGAGAAGACATTTACAATCTCCTAGGCAAGGGGAGAAACCCTTCCCACTGAATAGCCACAGGGCAAATGTGAACAACTGATGAGCTGGCATTTCTCAAAGGAATGGCCCAACAGGCTTTCCTGATTTACAAGCAAGTGGTAAATGCTTCAGGAATTCCAAAGGTCAGGAAAGAAAGAGAAACAATCCCAGGGCTTTTGTTCTCCCTTCAGCATGGGTGTAAAAGCTGAATGAAAAGGCTGGGTTCACTGCTGTTTTTTTTAATTAAACAGTCCTGGGCTTGGGTAAAGACAGGTTGAAGTTTCACTGGTCATTGCACCTATGGAATCCAGTAATTTTCCAGGTCTAACAAAATTGTGGGGGAGACTTGCCAGAGCTCAAATATGCCACAAGACAGTCTCCCGGAAAACTCGATCTCATCAGTGTTCTCCGAGAAGCGCTGCCAAGGCTGACAACAGATTTGTTTTTTAGAACCTAATCAAACACTGAAATTGCTAAGACTAGTATAGTATTTTTTTCCTTAAACATTAAGACTGCAAAGTCTCTCCTACAGCATGATACCAAATAACTGATTAAAACAAAAGGAGCGATAAAGTAAGACTCTGTCTCTAAAAAAATAAAAATAAAAAAGGAGCGATGTTCTTAGGAAATTTTTTAAAAAGCAGACCTTTTAGGTAGAACTATTTATGCCACTTGCTGGATTTGTCAAGGCAAACTGCTCCTCCTCCTTTGTGGGCCACAAAGCTGAGTCTCATTAGCTAATGGATTTATGCTCAAGTATGACAACTTGCTCAATCCTCAGGGAGTCAGTCAGTGTTAGGGGCTGATCCAGAGAATATTAGGATGTTTAATTTTGCTTCAAAGGCCTGTGAATCATACTGATACTCAGTTCCAACATGTTCCCAGTAGTTTGTGAGTTAAAAACAGAATGCAGCGGTAGGAGCCAACACCTACATAGTGGCAAACTGTCAATCAGACAGCAGTCTGCAGAACTCAGCAACAGGAAAGGATGTGGTCAGAGATACTCGCTGGCAAGTGAACTTCCAGCAAGACCCTGTTCAAGCCATAGGCTTCCAAACAACAGTGCCATAGCATATGACTCCCTGAGTGCCTCCTAACACAGTGACTTGAAATCCAGTTCATGTACTGGGACTTAACTGCTCTGGGGCAACTGTAATAGGAAGACGAAATGTAGGAGAGTTCAGAAGTACAGGCATTCTAACCCCATCTTCACAGTCACTCTCAGATGCCCCAGCCCACCTCTGACACTTCCTGTAACCAGACACTCTCCGTTACCGGTCTGTGCCCCCAAAAAGAAAGGGGACTTTTTCATCTCATTGCTCAAACCACAATTAAGTCCTTGAGTTTGAAGTCAACTGCATTATCTACACTATGTAGATGACAATTATTCAATTCCAAATTTCCTTCATCAAACAGACTGCCAACCTACCGTCTTAGAGCTCTGCATACACCTACCAACGTCCAAAAGGGAGACCTTCTCCCTTGCAACCTTACAGTCCATTTCCACACTCTTTAACTTTCTAAAGCATCATTCTTTCCTTCCCCTCTGAAGAAGGTAACTTACATTTGCAACATGATTTGGTTCAAAAAGATGCCATCCGCTAAATCCATGTACATAGTCAGATTGTCCTGGTTGCCACTTCCGAAGGGGCCAAAAGTTTTCACCTGGGGGAGGCAGATGAGGACATTAAGGCAGGAAGTCACCCCACGCACACAAATGGTCTAAAGTTCTCCTGGGCAAAGGAGTCACCCGTGCCCACCCCACCCTTCGGCGGGCACCAAGACCATCCTTCTCCTAGGGCCTCCCTCCTCTCCCCAAGCCAGGCAACAAACACGAGACAGGAGGCAAACTTCCTCGCCACTTCTTTCCAGCGTCCCAGAGCAGAAAAAAATAAAAAGGACTTCTCAATAAATATCTCACGTCTCAAATCCATTGTAAATCAGTGCGCCCACCCCAGTCTATTCACGTTACCACTCGGCACCCCCCATTTCCCACCCGTCACCGCCATCCACTGGCTGGTCACAGGGATTCAAAAACCACACGAGGATAATCTAGGGGAGTAGGGTCCTTTTCGCGAATGGTTAAGCCCTGGGGGCGGGGGTGACCACTCGGACTCCGTTCGCTCCGGGGCCTCCCGCAGCGTCCCGATGGGAACAGGTGTACCCGGCTCGGCTTCCGGCCCGGCCGAAAGCGCGGCGGGGTCCTGCGCCGGCTCCAGAGTTGGAAAGCCTCCGGTCTCCAAGACGCCGCCCCAAACGCCGGCCAGAAGCCACTTGCTGAGTCCCCTGCTTCCCCCGGACCCCGCAGGGTCGGACCCCCGCGCCCCCAGCCGGGCGGGAGAAGAGCTAGTGCACCAACAAAGGGGCGGGAGAGCAAAGCGCACTCACCCAGGTCACCAGCGGGCTCTGCAGGAAGAGCTCCAGAAGCTCCGAGACGGTCACGTCCATGCTGAGGCTGCGACCGCGGCTCCGCACCCCGCGTCCGGGTCCCCCGCGCCGCGGCACAAAGCGGCTCCGGCAGCGAGCGGCGGGCACGGGGCTGCAGCGGCTCGCGGCCGAAGACAAAGGCGGGGCGCGCGAGCCCACGTTCCCCGGCTTCAGCGGCCCAGCGCCCCGCCCGGGGCTGGGGG